GGGGGGGGGGGGGGGGGAGGGGTGTGAAAAATGTAACTTGGAGTGCGCGAGGTTGAAAGTTACATTTAACAAGCCCCCCCCATTGGGGGAGAATGCATTGTGCAGAGTCTTGTGATGTCATTTGCCTGCGATAGTAGCAGGAATGGATCAAGAGAGAGGTCGTATGATGTTGTATGAAGTAAGAGCTAGTCAAAGACAATCAAAGCGAGAAAATCAATGCAGTCAGAACACAGGGTGAAAAGGCATGTGTACATGTAACATCATGTTACATATGCCAGCTGCGCAAGCACATTCCAGGTGATACTGCATGCTTCCAAGGCCTGGACACACCTAAGTTACAATTGCTTATGGGTCCACAGCACATCACAACAAAACACAACAAGTCCACCAAAGCACTCCAGTTGAAAAGGTATGTTTAAATGTAACATGTGACAGCTGCACATAGCACAGATTAGGTGAAAATGCATGTTTCCAAGACGTCCACATGTCTAAGTTACATTTCTTTCTTGCATTCTGGTCCAACACTGCTGACACTGTGGCACAGCAGGTCTAGAATTAAACGCACTCCTCCCACAACATCAAAACAGAAGAACTCCAACCAAAGCACACCCAGTGATAAAGGCATTTAAATGTAACATATGCCAGGTGCACACAGCACAGTCTGGGTGATAATGCAAGTTTCCCAGGCCTGCGCACACCAAAGTTACATTTCTTTCTGGCATTCTGCAGAGGAACCAGCTGATGAGAAGAGTTTTGCGTAGTCGAAGAGCGCAGTCGAAGAAGAAAAGAGCCCATACTCTTCAAGCAGCCTCACTGAGTCTTGCGTAGTGTTACTTTGAACCATCCTAGACCTGAAAAAATGTAAGTTACATTTTTTCAGGTCCCCCCCCTGCTAAGGGGTAGGGATTGCATAACGCTTCTTGCGCGACATGTCACTTTCATGCAAATCACAATGTAATAGCGGCGCAAACTGACACGTGCCACATCCATGAAAAGTCACTTGCAAAAGCTTCCCCCAATGGCAGGGCCATAGAGACATCATACCGACGGTTGCAAACGGTTGCGAACTCGAAAACAACGTCGGCAAACACAGCTCTACCCTCAGACTCCCAAGTTAAACGAGAACCCTTCGCTATGCATTCGGGAACAACCACTAATTAGGATCTTTTGGTCTGAATTGTTGGCGCACAAAATTCACCACGTGTCAGTGTAAGTGTCGTAAAGGCACTGCTTGTCATGTAGGCACCGGTTCCAGCATCGCAGACCGATTATTGAGGCCTTTCAATGATTTCATCGAAGAGAAGCAGCAGGGGACCAACTCGTATGAGGATCTTGCTTCGACAATGTGGCCTGATTTATCAACACCCCCCACTTTTCCAAGGGATTCACCAGTTCTTTGCCTAATCGAACTTCAAGAAATCGATAGTGCCACTTGCGACTGCGCGGGACCCTGCAGGAGCGCCAAGCGAGATCTGCCGCAATACAGGCGAAGCTACAGGCTTCCGGGTTGCAGATGCTCGGGAATGTCGGAGGAATGGTCAGTGCTTGCTTCATTGAGAGCTTTCAGGTAGCAATTAGAGTACTGTAGGATACTGTAGGTATCGGGTAGAAGCCATCGCGAACGATGACAGGCTGCCAGGAATCGCTTGTCGATCGTGCGCTACGAGCGGAATAGCCAAGCCCTCGGCTTTTGGATGCTTGTTGTGGGCATGGCCCTTCACCAGACTCCAGGGCGAGCTTGCACGAAGTTTGCATTATTTTTTGTTGCATGGTGTTCTTCGTAGGCGCTCCTGCACCTGCTCCTGTTCCAGAAAAGCCAAGTCCAGACCTTAGCCACCATGGCTCGCCATGTCTCAACGGACCGACCGCGTCCAGGCCGAGCACCTAAAGCAGAAGCGAAACGACAGAAGCCGAAGATGCCCGAGAGCCGTGTCGGGGACTGAAGAAGCACACGCACTGGTGACGCATTTGTGTGGTTCAACATGTTTGAGCCACAGCCACCTCTGAACAAGGTGAACATGTTGTTTCATTCATTTCAGGGTTGTCCCTGAAATGTGGATCCTACCTGGGACCTACCAAGGGGAACACACCAAGACCAGTGGGCATTCGTTGGATGGAACGTGCTTGCTGTTCGTCTGATCCCTTGGGCTCTTCCGCGTCCGCTTCCATCACCGTCTCGTTTGGCTCGAGCTGCCTGACCCTGAGACCCTCAGGAGCCGGCAGAGTTTGAAGACTCGGATGCTTTTGGAGGGGGAACATCGTCAGGTCAACGCGTTGGTTTGGTCCATAGAGGTCACATATGAGATCTCAATCAAAGCCCCCTGATTTGACCACCTTTCAAACAGTATCCAACCCGCGGTACAGCGTGGGAGCCTGGGAAGCCTGAATAGATCAGTGTCATGAACTGTTGATCAATGGGCAATTTGCCTCTTGGCAGCATAGGACTCGCAAAGGAGCAACGAAACCACTTGGACACCTTGAGGGGTTTGCGAAGTCAGATGCCGAAAGATCTCGCTGAGGATCATCCCAGGTGAGACTGCCTTGTCCGGCCGAATCTACAAGGACCCTAATTTCAGCATGCCAGACATGTTCCAAGCTCGCGTGGGCTCGGCGGCGCAGAATGCCGCGCAGAGAAATCGACCAAGCTGAAGGATTGGCTGGCCCATCATGGTCTTGATAGGAGAGTTGCAGGGGCTGCATAGCACTTAGTGAGCTGTGGTGCCGTCGGTCATTACGGAGTCATTACGTGTCTTTTTGTGTTGTGAGCTGCTGTGGGTAGAACCCCATGCGTGAGACGCAAACCGAGGTTAGCCCACCTCCAGTTGGCCTCAAGAATGTGAAAAACATGTGCTTCCTGAACGCGATCATCCAATCTTTATACTACACACCAATGTTGCGTAGAAATCTCGCTCTGGCAACTGACAGCCGGCACCTCAAGACAAAATCCTTTAAGATGTGATGCGGCCGTGTCGCAGTGGCCTTTGGATTTTTTAGCCCAGGTGCCGTGGTCAAAGATCAGTGGCTCATCCAGCTGCAAAAGCTTTTCCAGGAGCTTGATGCTTCCAGGACAGAACGAGTCAAAGAGAGAGAGGGTTCCACAAACCTTTGACCTTTTTTGGCTTCAAGTCTTTCTTTACAGCTGACCCCACGATTCATCGCCGTGGTTTTCGGCGTTGCTTTGGCTGAAAAAGCGTAGGACCTCCAAGTCTCTCATTGCCGCCACAGACATCGCTTCTTTGATCCAAGCTGCATCCACCAACGGTGTCCCAGCTCTTGTTCTGATTCGTTGACATTCACAGACGAAAAGACGGAATGCTCCAGCTCTTTGATACCTGAGGTGAGTTTCAACACGGTGAGCAAGCAGATGCACATGAAGCGTTCATGCTTCTGATTTCAAAGTTGTTGGAAGGATGTATCTCTTGCAGAGGCTTGGTCAGCCAAGCATCTGATAGTCAGTGATACTTGTCTCCGTCCCAGGGCTGTCACTCTCCGAGAAGGAGCAAATTGAGCAAAGCAGCTTAATAGGCGAGGCTTCACCTGTTGTGGGGGTGAACCATATGAAGGGTGAAACAAGCGAAACAGGCGCTTGGCATGGCCAAGCTGCCAAGCTCGGGTGACAAGCTGCCAATAGCTGCCAAGTGTCAGGCCACATTTTTGGGATGAGTTTGAGTCAGCCAAGCCCTCAGAGTTCTTCTGGGCACTTGTGCAAGATCTCAGGAAGAGTCTATGTCCAGCTGTTTCCAGCTGTTCGTGCCAGGTGTTTTCCAGCTGTTTCCTTCCCTTGGTCCGAGGTCCGTGAGATGTAAAAGCTGTGGGGACAAGTCCGCACGAAGTCGCTCCGAGTATTGCTTCTGTGTGACGTGTCCCACGGAGCACCGGGGTGCAATTGATGTCACCGAGCTACTGGCCACCTACACGCAAGAGGAGCACATCAATGAATGGAAGTGTGACAAGTGCTCACAGGTGGGTTGTGTGCGACAGGCAGGGATTCACCATCCACCCAACGTCTTGCTGGTCCATGTGAGCCGTCTTCAGCGAGGCATTTGTCCACGGGTGACCTTTCAAAAGGAGCTGACCATCCAGTGTGATGAATCAGCACCGGCCTCTGTACAAAAGGTCAGATATTTGCTCTTTGCGGTGATCGTGTACCGCTCCATGGGCTCGAATGGTGGTCATTACTTCGCATTTGTGCGAAGCGGTCGAGGCCAAAGTGAGCAGTGGTTCTTAGCCGATGACGATGACATCAAAGGGGTTGCTTGGACGGACGTTCAGCAGGAAGAGCCCTTCATGCTCCTGTATGAGGCCGCGAAGGTGGTGCCGCCATTGATGACCGATTCCGTTGCCAGGTTGAGAGGAGGCACATTTTACATATGTTTCATCATTAAAGCTTTAATGTGGAATCGGCGCTGCAGACCTCGTGACTTTTGACAGACGACCGAAGACGGAAGATCAATGCATATGTATGCTTATGTGCTTTTGTTGGTGTTGATTCTGAATCGGATGGATAACTAAAAGATCCTTAAAGTTTCTACTTCCCGCGCAGAACTTCCCCGAGAAAAAGCGTCATGTGCTTGCATTACACAAACGACCATTCAATAGCTGGAAAACAGGATACATAACAACTGCCCTCTTCTGCACAGGCTTACAGACGAGGTGTGAATGCACCAGATGCGGCACACAAGAGCTCACAGACCTGAGATCACCTATATAGAAAAACCTTGCAGGGGCTGTAGCACAGCATAGCGGCATGGCCGATTACGTGCGGCCCCAGTGCCCTGTCGATCACGCAGCCAGTGCCAATCGCGCTTTTCTGACCGCACGTTTCGCTTGAGCTTGCAATTGCAATGAGGCATGCAATTCCGGCTTAGCAAGCGCTGCTGGTCCGGCCAAAACTGAGCCCGCCGGGGACCATCACACCACGACATCTCTTGTCAAAATCCCAGCACACCACTGCGCCACACGGCACTACACCACCACCACCACCACCAAGCGCCACACATCAACATGCAGCACTACCCTACTCGCAATCACACGACCACACAACGAGTCGCCCACAACCAGTCAATGAACACATCACACAGCCAAGACACTTCTTCGCACCGCACATCATCACAACAAAGTTTCCATGTCAGAGCTTCTCCTCATTCTCTCACAGCTCCCTCCCTGCTGGATTCGGTCCACGACAGTGGCCCGATTCTCCGTGCGGAGCGGGTCTGGCAAAGACAAAGACAAACAACGGTACTCGTACCATCCAAACGTGGCACAAGAAGTTTATATCATAAATAAAATCCTTTTTCAAACATGTTAAAACAAATGATGACTCTGCAGCAGAGGTTGCTGGGTCGTCCAAGTTTTGGAAGCCATTGCCAAATACAGTATCATCTCCATCTCCTGCCTTCCCAGGAACAGCGTCTTTTGAAAGAAGAGCAGCTCCAGGAAGAAGCCCGCATGAAATCTTTGGAGCAACACCGCATGAAGTCGGAGGCAGCAACCCCTGACTTTGCAAGTTTTTCCCTTCTTGGCGGCCAAACAGTGGGTTTAGTTCCAGACTCCAGCTGATTTGGGGATATGTACTGTTCTTGAGCGATGCCCACGTCACACAGCAATGTCAGCCTTTGAGCTTGTGAATTTCATTGTATGTCGATGTATTTCGGATGTGGCCTGTCTAGGCAGAAGCTCGGGCGCGTGAAGAACACCACCTTCGCATTAAGCAGCAGGAGGCGTTTCATTTGTACCACCAGCGGCATCAGGTCCGAGGGTGCCGTCAGGGCAGCTTGCCGTGCGGGTTGTTGGCAGCCGGTTCCAGCCATGCGTTCAAGCATCCAAAACAACACACAAGGGGGCAGAATGGGGGGAGGCTGAGTGAGGCAGGACGTTCTGGCAATTTCTGGCATGTGCCCAAAATCGATCCGGTGCAGGCAGAGGTTGAAAAGATGAGGCGGATGATGTCAGTCCGAACTTGTCCGATGTTTTTGAGAAGAAATATGGCCGTGGGATGGTGTGGAATTCTTGGGAGTCCTTGGGACCTTGGCTGTGAACGAGGTCCTCCAGGTTTTAACCCACAGCATGTTTGGTATTGTGCTCTGCCGGAGGCAATCGATCTTCAGCTGGGGTTTTGGAAGCCCAGGGAAGGACGAGGCAAGGCTTCGTCGCGACCGCTTGTCACGGACGTGTGCGACGGAGGCGACGTGCCTTCGTGCCACGATCACGGCGTGCCGCGGAGCAACGTTCGAGGTCACCAAGAAGCTGGGCTACGACGATCCCTACACACCTCCCGCAACTGAGCTATCCTCCACGACAGCAGGGTCTGAGGAAAGGGGAGGGTGGGACTGGCATGAGCGACATATTGTCATACAATCTCATACAATGGTTACAATGACATGATAATATCATTTATATACTCCTAAATTGTACTGACTAGTATATGATTGTTAATATAATGATTGCATGCTGTATGCTTGCGCACCTCATTCGGCATGCATGCTGCATGCTCATGCTGCATGCTCGTGCTGCACTTTGCATCACTCTGCCAATGTATTGGATTGAGCTCCCTGACCACGCAACCCTGCAGGGACGATACCGACCGGACGAGCCTCCATGGCCACCCCACCGTGAAAAGCGCCGAAGCATCATGGACTTCAACCGGTGCTTGGATTTGTTTTCTTGCAGCATCATGCAGTGCGCATTGTCGAAGCTGTTTGTTCTTTCACAGGTCTTTCCGCTTGCCAGATCGGTCGCGTTGCGATCAGGTGGTCACTCTTCCACTCATGCCAGTGTAGCCTGCCATCGGGTGAATATTCTGAAGGCATAGAAGATGAGTCGATGCATTGTATGTAGTCCTTTGTTTCAAGCGCAGTTTCCTCAGTTTCCTGTGGTTTGTTTCGAATTTTAAGATCAGAGCAGGTCCCGAATTCCTCGGCGTTTTTTCCTCCAAAGCGCTGATGAAGGTGACCCGTTGCTGACTTGTAGCTTGACGCCATGCATCTTCTTGCGAATGGCCTGCCATGGCCGATGCATGCTTCTGAACCGACTGCGAGTTGGTTGATGGAGTTCTTTGGCCGTGGCATGGGACTTTGCAAGCCCCAATTCAGCCTAATCCCCATGCAACCTTGACCATACTCTTGCAAAAGCAAGATGTCGCTGCATTTTTGAACAGGATAATAAAAGGATATAAAGGGGCCCACTACGAAGATGCACGGTTTGACTTGTGGCAATGCTTGTGTGATTTTCTTTGTCACTTCGTGCAAGACTGGATGTTTGAAGATTCTTTGGATAGGAACGATTTCGGGAACGGCATGAGCCTGGATGGGGACGCCGCCTTAGAGCTTTCAAAGATCCAGCACCAGCAGGTGGAAATTCATCTTTTGGGGTCTTGAGTCTTGAACAGCAGATTTGAATTTCATTGGATGTCTCAAGTCAACAACACCACAACTGAGGGTGGCTACAACCTGGGCGGTAGAGTTGCCGGAGGGGACCAAGGAATCGGGCTTTGCCAAGTGTCAGCCGGGTGGCGCCGCTGCGCGAACCCACCCCTGGCCTGAGCATAAGCTCATTCAATCAAGCGATCCTTTCGGCGCAATTTCAGATGTAAAGTTCGTTTGTTCGCATTTTAGGGCCAGCAAGAACGTGCCCAAGCGAATCAGACTTCACTACTTTGTGGGCGAGTTTAGTGAAAGGTCGCGCGATTGGCCACGTGACAGTAGCAAGTTGTTGGGAGTGTGCGAGCGACAGTCGGGCATCGTCGGTGGCACACGTCGCCCTTTCGGATCAAAAAGAGTCAATAGGGGCCTTTGTGAAGATAATGCAGCTACAGAAAGGCCAGAGTCCATTCCCTTCCTCCTGAGGGGCAGCCCCATCTACCGAGGGGAGTCCTCCAAATGGCATTAATACCTGTAGAAATTATACATGTAAATATAATATTAAAACTATATCATATATATATATATACGCATAATAGATCACCACAGATCTGGGTAACTCGTCTCTGCAACTTTCCCCGAATTGCCTCCATGCCTTCTGTGGCAATGTTGGCCTGACAGCACCATGGCAGCTGCGGCTATCAGCTGCTAGAATCCAAAAAGTAAAGGTTTTCAGAGAGAGAGAGAGAGAGAGCTAGAGGATCTTACAGGTGATGGTTCCGTTTCTGGAAAAGGCCATGTCGCGTAACACGCAAACACAGAGAGCTGGGGATAGAGAGAGAGAGGGAGAGTTGGGAAACACTTGGCAGCCCGGCTAAATGACCAAAGCCGACCGATGTGAGTTTCTGCCGGTGTGTGGGGGCAGACGGCCACGAGAGTGAAACCTGAAGACTCGATGCTTTCTGGGAGAACCCGTTTTTGGTGTATGTATATTAATTGTTTACATGTAATTAAGCAATGTAATATATGTAATGTGATATATATATATATATACTGTAAGGTAATGTGATGGTACGGGTGGATGGATGGATGGATGGATGGATGGATGGATGTGCTTGAGGCCTTGATGACTTCAAATCCTTGACAGCACGGCAGCTCCGCCAAGAATGCACGCTGGGGCCTTGGTGGAAGAGGATGCGTTTGAGCTCAAAGACGACCAAACAGATCCAAAGACTACAAACTGAGGTCCAGAGGAGTAAGCCTGACAGGCTGCTTTGACAAAGATGCCATGCTACAGAGGCTGTGAAACAGTAAAGCTGCCAACTGCTTGTGTGTGTGTTTTTTTGGTTTTCCGTTCCCACTGGGAATCATGTCATTTGCTAAAGTTCCTCATTTGCGATCATGTGGACTTTGCTTGGGAGGTTGCAGAAGGCCTTGTCGCAAGCTGGCGGTCGGCTTCCGGAGCGACGGCCGCAGGAAGCCGCTCTCAGACTGCTTTGCGAAGAGAACTGCAGAAACGCCATTCGATGATGTTTCACCAACTCACCAACATGGACGGGTTTTGTGTTGCATTGGGAAGGCTATGTTCCTTCACACCCAGTGGTTTGTCCACTTCCGTGCGTGTGTGAGTTTGAGTGTAGTTGCGGACAAGGACACAACGGTGGCAGCGTGTGTCATGTTTTCTTGGAGCTCAGGCCACAATCAAGCACACAGACAGTTCTCTAAATCCGCCTGCTTGCACCTTATTTATTACCTGCTCAGCGGTAGAATGGTAGCAGACATCGCATCGTAAGCCAAACTTTGCCCGCAGGTAGATGTTTCAAATGCAAGCGTTTGGAGTTCGAAGTGAACACATGCAAAGTCTACTGATTTATCACGGCTGCTTGTTCAAAAGGGTCTGATGTATATAGTGATGTAGTGATGTAAATTGTTCAGGAACCAGCGCAGCCGGCAAGTCCCAACCACAGTCTGAGGTGGAGAACGTTGTCTCCGTGTCGAGTGCTGCCAACTTAGCACATGCGAGCTGACAAAGGGGTCCACAACAGTGCTTGAGTGACATTTCAGCAGCAGCTTGCAGAAATCACTCAACAACGCTGGAGGCTGCAGATGACCCGCGGTTGTACACTAGCGACGATACTGCCAGAAAAGCTGCAGAGGCAGGATGTTGCTGTGGGGTTCGGGATTGCATCCTACTCGACACCTTTGCGGTAGGAATCTGCGCAGGCTGCCGTTCCAAGCACGATTATGGTGGAGGAGAATGTTGCCCCGCGACAGAGTGCTTCCAACTTAGAGTGTGCAAGCTGACGGGGTTCCATGACAGTGCTTGAAAGACATTGCAGCAGCAACTTGCAGATTTAGTTCAGCAATAATGCTGCAGGCTGCAAATGATAGACCATTAGATGCCAATGCCAAAGAAGCTGCAGAGGCAGGATGTTGCTGTGGGGTTCGGTA